GGGGTGCTAGAGCAGGCATCCAGGACTGAGGATGCACAGCTGGAGAGCCTCGGAGGTAACCGCACACAGCAAGGACGAGGCTTCATAAGACAGAAGAGCTATGGCCTGAAATGGGTGAAAGCATCTGAACTTTATATAAGAGAGTTCTACTGAAGTCCGGGCTAAGCTATCCAATACACCTGCCACCCCCATCCCAGGCTGAGACATTTAAAACACTTGCCTCACAAAGAAATGCTTTACAATGGAACTGCAAAATTCTGAAGTAATTCCTGGAAATGACCCTATTGCCCAGTGTTCATAGAGAATAAAAAATAAAAATTATTCCGTATTTTGCATTACATTTAGCCAATTTAATAAGCTAGAGGAATCAATAGTGCTAATAATCCCGTTCCCTCAGTCTTCTTCTCTATAGCCTCATATACCAGACTGGAACTTGGTTGAAATAAACCCAAGAATGATCAGATCCCATTTTTATGGTAATGGCTTTGAGGACACAGGCCAGAAAAAATTTGGGCATGTTGCATGGAAAAGCAGCAGCAAAGGAAACTGTGTATCATAAAACAACAGAGCTTGAGTCATAGAGCTGGGACACACTCCTCTTCTGTATCGTGACAGTTCTGATGTGACTCCTAGCTAGTCTTACTCACTTGGTCAAGTCCATGAAAGAAAACTGGAAATATGTGCTGGCAAACTGAAGCTTAGGAAACACCAATAAATAGCACCGGGATTTATGGCCACATCTATCCTTTGTTGGAGGAAGCTTTGGTATAGGGGAACACCCTGAAGATAGTGTGGAGAGTGGGGGACACGGCCGGTGTCACAGGATTGCCCAGATGGTCAACAAATAACATGAAAGAATCTGGGTTAGCAGGCTCGAAGCCACTCTGTATCATTCACAAGTTGGGTACTCCATGCTGTTTTCCTGAACTTTAACCTGAAAGTTACTGGACTACAGAAACAAAATCCTAATGATTACAGGAAAATAGTGTATCAAAAGCACTTAGAATATTAAGAGTCTCAGCTTTATTTGTATCTGGATATGCAGCATGTTGCATTACTTTTAGCCTTTGAAAAATGTTACTCTATTAAAACTGGAGACAAAACACTCCACTTAGAAAATGACCCAGGAAAGTAATTTTTAAATTCTATTTTTGGTTGTTAATGCGTATATTTGATACATTTGGAAGTTCTTGGGTGATAAAATGGGCAAAACAATGTAAATATGAAATCTCACATGGAATCAAAGATGCATTTTCTGGTTATTTGATGACAAGTCAAGATTTCCTTACAGTTTTATTTGCATACTTAAAAAAAAAAGATTATTTATGCATATAGAACTGGGGTATAGGCCAGAGGTGCAGGGGGGTTGAGAGGCTTTACCAGAGACAGAGTGGGGAGCAGAACAGGCAGATGGGCTGAAATACACTACTGAGGGGAGTAGTGGGCTGATCAGGACAGGTTTGCTGTGCCATGTGGATCAGCTCTCTGGCTGGGGCTTGAGCTCTTTCTGCAGTAACTTCATAGTGCCTCGACTTAATCCCTTGTGTCGCCAGGGAGGCTCTTTACTTGTTTTTGTTTGTTTGTTTGTTTGTTTTAGGCAAAGCATGGCAAAGATTCTATCTTAAAGTTACTTTCCTGGCAGGCACTTTAACAGGGAATTCCAATTTAAACCAGTAGAGGGCATAAGAACACCAGTCACTAGAACGAATTTGCTCAGCGGTTGAACAATAAGTAAATAAAATTATGCCAGGATTTCTGAGCTTTAGAGCATTTGGTTAATTAACAAGTCTAAGTTCATTCTTAATGATTATATCTAAAACTTTTTATTTATTTATTTATTTTGTGGGGGGCACTTTGCGATTCAAATATGTTTCTTTGCAAAGAGACACCAGAGGACAAATTGGGTAGAAAAAACTCCAAAATGCTCTTAAAATTATGTTGGACAATCTGATTTGGTAAGATTAGAGAGTAAATAACAACATAAACTCGTATTAGGTTGATGTCACCATTTGAAAGCTTATCTTGCCTTCTATTTTGCATTCTTTATTCCAGATATCCATAAATTTATTTGCTGTTTAAGTAGAATGACACTGCTAAGTTTTTTATGCAATTTGTTTCTAAAGTAGTTATCACCATCACTAATGTGATTAACAACATGCACTGTTGACCTGACTACTGGATACAGTTGAAAACAATCTATTCATCAGTATTTAGCATTTAAAAAAAACAAAACACAAAACTGTCATCTCAAATATGATGTGTTTTAAAAAGTTATATGCATCATAACCTTTAAGATTCAAATGAAAGGAATAAATACAAGCAAATGAAAGGAATAAAGGCAAGCAAATAAAAAAAGCATGTCTCTTATTTATTTTTAAAGATTTATTTATTTGTGCTTACAGAACTGGGGTACAGGCCAGTGGTGTGGTGGGTGAAAAGATTCATCAGAGACAGAGTGGGGAGCAGAACAGGCAGATATGCTGAAATACACTGCTGAGGGGAGCAGCAGGTGGGTCAGGAGAGGTCTGCCAAGCCATGTGGGTCAGCTTCCTAGTGGGGATTGAACTCATGCTACAGTGGTAAAGATTTATTTATTTGTGCATACAGAACTGGAGTACAGGCCAGAGACTCAGGGGTGGCGAAAGACTTCACCAGAGACAGAGTGGGGAGCAGAATAGGCAGATCAACGAAGTACACTGCTGAGGGCAGCAGCGGGCGGGTCAGGAGAGGTCTGCCGCGCCATGTGGTCACCTCCAGGGCAGGCGAGAATCGAACTCATACGGAAGTGGTTTCAGCTTCTTACTGCGGTGCTTTAACCCGCTACGCCACCAGGGAGGGCCAAGAGAGCCCTTATTTATTTTTAAGAAGATTTATTTATGCATACAGAAGTGGGGTACAGGCCAAATGTACAGGGGTGGTGAGAGGAGTTACCAGAGATAGGGTGGGGAGCAGAACAGATTAAGGAAGTACACTGCTGAGGGGAGCAGTGGGAAGATTAGAAGAGGCTTGCCACACCCTGTGGGTCAGTTCCCTGGCCGGGGATGGAACTCATGTTGCAGTGATTGTCAATAGCTTCATAGCACTGAGACTTTGACTCCTGTACTACCAGGGTTTACCACACTTAGGCATTCCTTTTAGTGGAGCTAAGCAATCATTTCTATGGAACATGTACACACAGGAGTGAATGTGCTTGCTATCGGCTATGTGTAAACATGTTTATCTTCACAGACACTGCCAAATGTTTTTCAAGTTTTAATAGCTTACACTTCTATTATCAAAAATTATGTTGATCATATATATTTTTTAAAGATTTATTTATTTAGCCCTCCCTAGTGGCGCAGCGGGTTAAAGCACAGCACTGAGAATCTGGAGCCACTTCCGCATGAGTTCGATTCCCGCCTGCCCGGAGGTGACCGCATGGGGTGGCAGACCTCTCCTGGCCCGCCCACTGCTCCCCTCAGCAGTGTATTTCATAGATCTGCCTGTTCTGCTCCCCACTCTGTCTCTGGTGAGGCCTCTCACCGCCCCTGAGCCTTTGATCTGTACCCCAGTTCTGTATGCACAAATAAATAAATCTTTAAAAAAAAAAACAGATTTATTTATTTATTCATATGGAACTGGGGTACAGGCCCCGTGAGAGGCTTCACCAGAAACAGAGAGGGGAACAGAACAGGCAGATGGACAAAGTACACTGCTGAGGGGAGCAGCGGGCGGGTCAGGAGAGATCTGCCACACCATGTGGTCACCTCCAGGGCAGGCGGGAATCGAACTCATGCAGAAGCGGTTTTAGCTTCTTAGTGCTGTGCTTTAAACCCGCTGTGCCACTAGGGAGGGCCCGATCATATTTT